CGTGCAATTATTCAAAGTGCAAAGTCGCTGCTCGCAACGTGTAACTTCTACGTTTTTATATATTTGCTTCTTTCTTTCTTGTGGGTGTGTGCCTGGGAAATTGTTCATAATTTCGAGTAGACAACTTTGTTAACTTTGAGACGCCGAAAAATTATGCTTTTATTCCAGTCAGCATTTAATTTATTGATGTAATTTGCCTTCGGCTTGCCGCTGCATATTAATTTGGCATAAACGACGCACAACCATCAACAAATTACAGCAAAGATTATATGTCCCAGCATGTTGAGACATTTCCAACAATGTCATTGTATTGCTGTTGTTGTTGTTGTTGTTGTTGTTGCTGGGTGTGTTTGGGTGTGTGTGTGTGTGTGCGGGCCTGTGACATTGACAACGCGTCGTGCAGGATCAACAGCAAATTACCCTAATCAAATTGCCATTGTGCATATTTTAAGTTAATGAGTTCGTGAATTTAGATCAAATTAGCGCAAAAACTGAAATTTCCAGGATTTGTTTTTTATTACCAACTTTTTATGAGCTCTGAGCTTAAGTATTATTATTTGCTATTAATTTCTTGTTGCACGAAATTTTAGTTATGACATTTTCGGATGAAAGCTGCAAAGATACATCGTTATATTCGATAACAAGAACAATTTAAGTATAGGGAAAAATATTTGGGAATTATTTTAGACTTATTTTTAGGCTGAATAGTAACTATGCTTAATGTTTCAAGATATTTTTAAAAATTAAATGATTAGTTTATCACAGAAACTGACAGACGGTATGTAATCGACTGTTCATACCGGCTTATTATAAATATATTTATTATATATTCAAATTAATTAATTTAAAATATATTTGTTGGCTTTGTCAATGTATTAATTTGTAACACTTTCTCTTGGATTCATCCAAGTCGTAACTTTTTCATTCCTATTCCCAAATTTAGCACAAAGTCGTCAAAAGTTTCGATTAAAAATTTAGAAAGAAATTAATCAAACAATGGGGTTAATATACCATCGGTGGCAGTGTGGCGTTTAAAGTATTAGTTGCAGCTAGCATGTTTTAGGAAATGGATTAGGGATTAGTTAGCAAAGCAGTTTAGGAAACTTGGGAGGAATGAAACTAAATATGGACTTAAGCATATAAAAGTCTTAACAAGACATAAATGGACAATGCTGCGAACTAAGGGGGAAAAAAAAATACACATAAGCAACGAAAGCTGCAAACTTAAATAAGGCAAGGGGAAGGGCGCTGCGTGGCGCACATACAGCAAAGTTCTGGGCAAACACCTCAAGTGTATATGGCAAAGGGTGAACTTTTGGCTTGCATAAGCTCAAGCTGAACTTTTATTTGTATGACTCGTCGTGTGCAGCAAAGTTTTGGCCAGTTTTTATAGCATATTGTTGTTGCTGTTGCTGTTCGCTGCTGCAGCTACTTGCTTGATTTTATTGCTGCAGTAACTTTAGCTGCAGCAGCAGCAGCAGCATCCGCTGCTCGCACAAGAGCTGTTCTCTGGCCGGGGCGAGTGCACTTTAAATTACTCGAATGATACTTGATGGTTGCAATCAGCAGCGGCAGCCCCTCAGCCCCCCTTTTTACAGTCTCAAGTAGACTTCATTATTTTGATAGCAATTAGCAAATTGAGTTTTATAAATTTTAAGTTGTCTGTCATGCAATTAGTGCAGCACGTCTGACCGACCAGACAAAGTCAAAGCTCTGCCTCCGCTGCACACGCTGCGTATGCTTGATGTGTCTACTCTAATTCCCAATGAAGCTCGTGTTTAGATGTTTGCCTCTTTTTTTCTTGTGGCATTTTATTGCACGTTTCGAAATTAACTTTATGCATCACAAGGGCTCATGCAAATTTCGGGCTTGGCTTTTGTTTTGTTTAATTTTATTTTCAGCCAGCGCACGCACTGTGCCAAACAGCAGCTGATAAAACATTCGCGCCAAGTCGAGCGCGGAAACAAAAAATGGAAAGACAGGCAACAGCGGGTCAGCGCGGTGAAAAAGAAAACAAACAGTTTTTGCAACGCCAGGCAAATCTTCTCTTATCAACGTTTGTTATTGACACAAGTGTTTGAGCTTGGATATCAAAACTGAGTTTTTTTTGGAATTTTTTATTAAATAATATAGGCGAGTTTCAGCTATAAGCTATAGCCACAACTTACAAAATATTATATATAATTACACGATCCTTAAATCCCGTTTTTTAATGAAGCTTCGCATATAGACAACTCATCTACACAGATCGATTTGGAGCTATTAAGAGTAAGAGTTCATACTTTCAACTAAGCTTACGACAACAAAAATCCAGGTATGCGGTATCTAACCGACTGCTTAATAAGTAGGTGGAGAATCAGCTTCTTGTTTAATATTAACAAGAATTTTTGCGAGAGTGTAGTAAAAGAGAGATGCTATAAAACTGGAAATTTAATACTGTGTCGGAAGCCTCGACAACAACAAACTGTTTCCGAGTTGGCAAAAATATTACAATTGATTTAAGACATTTTCAATTTTAAATTAATTGAATTTCATTCTGCAATCAAATAAAAGCATGTTTATTCATTTATAACAATTAGCTGAGATTTATAATTTATTGATCAGCTTTATAATTGTTATGAGCCTTTAGCACATATATTCATGCCCATTGTTATTTTAAGACGCAAAGTTCAAGTCATGGCAAACCAATTTTGAGAGCAGTTGAACCAAGCAAATGAAGTGGAAAACACAAAATTTTGTTATTGCTCGATACAAGCTGTTGTTGTTGCTCACACAATTTTCAATGGCAACCGCACAAAACAGCAACAAAAGCAGCGCATATTATGTTTATGTGCAGAAATATGATACTTTAAGATACAATACGCTTTCGTTTAATGCTCACATCGCAGCCAATGCTATATCACAGATATGATGACGGTGACGATGACTATGTTACCCGACTGGCAGCCAAAAGTTGTTCTTCTTGTCGTCATAGTCGATATTGATCCATGTTGACAATTTTTGGCGGCGTGCAGAAATAAATAAATATATGCCCCGATTTTTCACTCTCTACTGCTCGACATGCAACGTGTGTGGCATAAAAGCCGCTTTGTATTTGGGGTTCTGTTTTTTTGTTTTTGTTTTGATGCTCTGCACAGTTTATTTGCTTTTTATTTTTACTGCCGTTTTGCGCGATTCCGCCGTATCTATGGTGTTGTCTGACAAAAGGCAAATGCGCCCATTTGTCATTTGGACAACGAGCTGACAGTTGGCAACAAACTGAAGCTGCTGCCAGTTGTCAGCGGATGGTTTTGTCACCCTTCAAGCGATTTGCCGAGTATCGAACTTGTAAATGGCAGCCTTTATGCAATTGGCTTTTGTGTTAAGTACGAGAGCACTCTTCACGGAAATGCAATACGCAGGTAATCTATATTTTATTGAGACTATGGCAGATTAACTTTTTGAATAGCTGGTCAAAAGTTAGAGAACAAATTTTATACTTGAAATATGTTCATGTAAAGTTGGACGCAATACGATTTAAAACAAAATTAGCAACTGGTAAAGCATAGAATCTATATTATATAGATATTCATTGCAAACGTTTTCTACAAATATTCTTTGCGTGTAAGCGAGTTGGTATCGAACAATTATAATAAATCAAATAATATCAAACTTATCTGCAAAAAATGCATTCAATATTTTTTCTGAATAAAATTATTTCTCTTTTTTTAACGTAACCACCAATATTTGCGTAATGCAAATTGTATCATACATATTATTTACTAAGCAATTAAAATGGTTTAATCAAAGCAAAGCCTTTTGAAGCTTTCATCATGGTTTTAATTACAATCAATTTATAAATGTAAAGTTATCCTATATATTTAAATACAAGAAAATTGCGCGCTTTTTTGCATTTTTCAAATGGATTTTAGCAGACTTCTGTTACAATTATATGAAGGTATATGGGCTTTTTTAATTCATCCGTCCGCATAAAAGGCAAAAGGCAGGCAACAACAAATGTTATAAGCGCACTCAGCCAAAAGCAAGTGTGTAAATAAATTTTAAAATATGTTGTGAACCAGATGAATGGATAAATAAAAAAAAATTAAAACAAAAATATTTTAATTTTGTTTGAATAGCATAAACAAATCCAGAAAGTGTATGATTAAGCATGTGTTGATAAGATATTGATGTACATATATAAGCCGATTAGTAGCGCTTCCAAAATGTTTCCAAACAGACTTACAGGGTATCTGTCAGTCGGGCAGATTAAGGACAAGATTCTGCAACGGTTAGTGGTAGGCTAGAAGCGCTGTCAGCTTCCATTGATATGGAAATAGACACACGACGTAAGCTCATTGAATGCTTAAATAAACAGATATTCGATAACTTGCTCCGTTTCCAAGTTATCGATAAAACTCGGTATCGAAATCCTGTTTTTTGAGCAAATTTGGTAAATAATAAGAGCTGGAGACACCAAACTTGAGATGAAGCTTCTAGAATAGTGTATATACATCAAGTATCTTTCATTTTTTAGCTATCGCCACTTCCCCGCTACTACTTCATTACTGTAAGTCAAGTTAACAATCCAATTTATATTGCCCACTAATATAAGCCACAATAATTTAAATGCAATTGACTTTTTGCGAATATACAAATATAATATAGTACAATATGAACAACTGTTACAAATTTCATCAAGGGGCAGCAAGCGCAAATTGCAACCTGTTTATTGATATGATATTTGCCTTAATACAGTTGGGTGAAAACTTATTAAAATATTTCAAATAGTAGCGAAGATTGTGACCTAAGTGTATTTAATCTATGCCGGTCTGCAGATGATTATTATTTCTGGCCTTTATATAGTTTAATTAAGTTGTGAGCATTAGACGCTATATAGGAACTCATGGCGCTAACAAATAACAAAGAATAAATTAAACTTTTAAGACAATAATTTGCATAAGTAATCCATTTGTTTTATGACACCTGACACTTTAGCTAAAATGATTCTATACATTTTTCGATAATCTTTACAAGTTTGAAGTATTTAGTTTACCGTATTTATATAAATTATATCGTTCAGGGCTCATTTCCCAAAAATTTCTAAATTTAGTTAAGAGTGGATTTGCGTTTGCCTAAACAACAGTTTTCTGATAAGCCGAGCTTTATAAATAGCCCCGAGTCCGGCAAGCTGGGTTGTCTTGTGTATGCAGAGCAGAGCACAGATCTCAGAATGGATGCGTATTTATTTGTCGGGCTGCTTTTAGCGTTCGTCTGGACGAGCAGTGCTCATTCTCTGGGCAAAGAGGAGTTTTGCGAAGGTCCGGTAGTTCCCCTTAATCTAACTGCTGTAAGTAGAAATCTCTAGAATAAAGCCCATGCTTATTATTTTCCGAATGCCTCAGGTATCGGGTTATTGGTACGAGTTAGCACGCTTGCCAAAAGGGATGAATATTAAATGCTTGAGTGTTCTGGTGCCAGCAACTGCGGATACCGAACTAAAAATAATATTGAAATACAAAATCACCAAAGATGGTAAAGATCGTTCTGTTAAGGAGACGGTTTCTTTTCCCTGGGATGAGGCAACGAAAAACAGCATTTTCGTTGTGAAATATGGCAGCGCATCAGTCACCTATAAAGTGATGGCTGTGTCCGCCAAAGAAGGGGCCATTATTTGCTCCACCCAGCCAGGCATGAAGATCTTAAGCCCTGATAACAATCCCACAGATGCTGAATACAATGAATTTAAAACCAAATTTTCTTCATTGTTCGGCAATGTTGAATTTTTTTATCCAGATTTTACGTCGAAAGTTTGCAATGCTGCAGTGCGTCCGGCCACAGAAGCTGCTGTAATACTCGCCATGTTGACTGTTCTGTCGTATCTGCTTCAGGGAAATTGTCGTTTATGGTCTAAAATATATTTTTATTTTTATACCGACTAAGTAGGTCAGTTCATTTATATAAATAATGCCGAAGAAACAATTTATATACAATATAAAATATTTACACTCATGTCTAAATCTGTCGCGATCTATCATTTGTAAAGTCCAGTCTATCTACGCAAGCGCAGTAATATGTTTTTGTTTTGATTTCAGTGTACTGTTACCTCTTTTTAGCAATAGCTAATCTTATTGGTCGACAAAATCACACGACTGCGTGTAAATTACTCTCGTAACCTGCATGAGCAGCGCTAAAAGTGTTTTTCGACAAAAGTCGCGTCGCACCACCTGTTGACATTCAACTCAATTCATGATGGAAACGGGGTCCGCAGAGGCGCCCCTCCCTGCGTGACATGGTTAAAAAAAAATTCTTAAAAATATCTATTTTTAGACGCACCTTGCAAAATGGACTTGCCGATACGGCCGATACTAGCAGAAGAAGTCAAATATGCATCGATGCAACCAACATCAAGCTTCTTCCTCCACGCGCCCTCGCCTTCCTCACGGCCATCTACAATAGTATCATTAGGCTCCACCTTTTCCGCTCACAATAGAAGCGTGCGAAAATTATAATGATACCTTAACCTGGGAAGCCAGCAAATATTTATATCGCATAATTTTCTTATTATCGTAAGATAATTTGTAAACAAAATTTGAAATTGAAAAAACAAAAATAAATAATTATATATGTATGTTATATATTTAAGTACAAGAAAATTGCGCGCATTTTTCAAATGGATTTTAGCGGAGCTCGGTTTTATAAATATGTACTTGGTATATGGGCTTATATATTTTTTAATTCATCTGGCCGCATAAAAGGCAAAAGAAAGGCAACAACAAATGAAATAAGCGCACTCAGCCAAAAGCAAATACATAAAATGCGACCCAAACGCATTATTTCCATACCCTGTAAATAACAGTGCAAATGGGTCTACTGATTTGTGCTGTGAACCAGAATAAGTATTTTTTTTAATTGATGTTTTTTTTTTTTTAAGATGAATGGATAAATTTAAAAATATATATATATTTAGTATTGTTTGAATAACTTAAGCAAAGCCAGGAAGCGTATGATTAAGCATGTGTTGATAAGATATTTATATATACAAAATGTTTCCCTACCAAACAGATGTACGGGGTATCGGTCAGTCGGGTAGACGTGCCTATTTTTGACATTGAACGCAAAATTAAGGACAACATGCCGCAACGGCTAATGGTAGACTAGAAGCGCTGTCAGCTTCCATTGATATGAAAATAAACACACGACGTTAATCAAATGTAAGCTCATTTAATGTTTAAATAAACAGAAATGAATACTCAGATCTGCGATGAGCGCTCGTCTGTGAGTGTGAGTGCGAGTTCGTTTCTATTTGTTTCTCTGATTAAATGCTACATAAATATTTAATATGAATTACTTTCATGACGTCCCAAATGGCATTTAATTAGCTAGCAATATATACTTCAATAAAAACCAAAAACAAAAACGTTCTCAAATAAAAACTTTGGCAGCACGCAAAACAACAAAAAAAAAAAAGAAACTCTTGCGTTGGCGGCGGCCACTTGAAAAATATAACATCAATATTATTATTGAGCAAAAGCGGGCGCCACAAGCCCAGCGAGTGGCTCAGTTCCAGACTCCAAGGGAGTCTGCTCGACAGACTGCGGGATTTGTTTGTTATTTTTGTGTGTATTTTTGTTTATTTCAAGTAAGCTCCCGTTTTATTCCCTTTGAAGTGGCACTGAGAGTCTCGCACAGTCTCCAGTTGGAGCAGCGGCATTTCTCAGCCATCGCATTTGTGGAAGCGAAATATACTCAAGCCAAGTTTATGACGGCCACTGTGGCATAATTCCTGTAAAGACCTTAAAGCATTTTTTAATAATTTTTTATTGTCAACATTTTGAAAAGTTTTGCCAGCCAGACAACATTTTTGTCGCGTCTTTGAGACCTAAACTTTGTTTATTGTGCCCCAAGGCTTAACTTTAATTTCTTAATTCAGTCTGCGTTTGGATTTGCTTGAAAATAAGCTATAAATAAACTACTCAACGGCTTCTTATGCAAAACATAAAATCTTAAATTGAAATGTAAAGCTGAAATAAAAACTCGTACATTGTATTATCTTTAACAATTTTTGTTATTTATTTTTAATCCCTGCAATAATTAAAAGTGGCTAAAAAGAGTCACAACAAAGTTTTTCGTAGTCCTAAATTCTGTTATTGTTGCTTTTCGTTCGAAATACTAAAATATTGAATATTGAACTTTTGTTGTCTGTACAATAGAAAAATAAAAAGAAAAAATCATAATCCCTATGCAAAAGGCTAACAAAAACAAATTAAATAAGTGCTCGGAATAAAACAATGATATTTCGCATATTCAAAATATTTATTTGTATATTTTTGTATTCTTTTTATATATTTATGAATATTGTATATATTTAATCAATTGCTTTTGCATTGTACAATTTTTATCAGGTAATTTCCCAGCCACAAACGAAGCATTTTGTGCACTTTTTTTTTCTCGACAGCGCAAAATATTCATTTAATTTGCCATATGTATGAATATGAATATGAGTAAAAAAAATGCAGCAATTTAAGTGAGCGCAATGCAACGTATGTGCAGTTAAAAAAAAAAAGGGATATAAACGCTGGCTGAAAAAGGAAATGGAATTGAATTGTCACAGCTGCAATTTTTCAACTGTCAAATCAAAACATAAAACCATTTACTTTTAATGATTAATTACTTTGGAGAAGCGTAACGGAGCAAATGTTGAAAACCACAAAATGATTTTGATTACGAGCAGGGCTGCAGTCAACTTTGATTTGATTTATGATGCGCATAACCCTTTTGACACACATACACATACACACACACAGTCTCCAGACGCACACTCACATCCATGCTCTTCATTTGTTATGAACTTAAGCCTAGACCGACGACATGCGATTCACCTTAAAATTCATAAGTTTGTCAAGCGAAATTTACACACTCACGCACACACAGCCGCAAGTAAAACAGCAGCTGCATGTCATTAACAATATGAGCCCAAGACATAATCCCCCGCTCGGCAACCAAGCCGCGCAACATGGCGTATGCGTAATACGGGCGCCAAACTTTTCAGCGCTTCATTTTTTAAACATTTAAGACACACACACACGCACTCACAGAAGCCTTTGCATGTGTGTGTCAACAACTTTTCTTACTTTCGAGCTATGTTTTCTATGGCCGTGTTTTTATTTTTACCCATTTTAGTTGTCATCAAGGCTGCGGATTATGCGCCCCCAAAATGTGAGTTTATGTTCAAAATTATGCAAAAGCAGGGCAATGAAAATGCTGATGAGACGGGCTGTTGCTGATAATGTTTATGCTGATGATAATGATGCCGCATAACACCAAACCAAATGGAGTTGGCTTCAGGCAGAAAAAGGGATAAACATAACTGCGTTCTTTATATGGTATTTGTCAAAGCAAAAAAACCAAAAAGTAACCAAATATTTTAATTACATTCGGCCACAAGTGACCCAAATAGGGGGGGGGGGGGGGGGGAAGGGTTACTTTGCAACCCTTTCGGCCAAGTGCTTCAGCTGCTTAACTGACCATGCTGACAAAAACACGCTCTTTCATCATATTAACCCCAGTTTACTTGAGCATGACGAATGAGTTTCACAAGTTTGCCAATTTTAATATCAATTTTAAAGCTGCACCAGCTGCAATAGCCAAAAAGTTTAACCATATAATATGGCAAAAGTAATTCAATGTTTATTATGGCCAACCTGTTGGCTAATATATAGGTAATATATAATGTGCCTTATAGGAACTGTCAATAATTTATGTGCCACATTCAGCGCGTTAGTCCAAAACCCATAAAATTTTGTTTTATGTACAAGAATTTCGAGGCGCTAATTTATGGACCAAATCGTTGCAAATTATGAGCTGCGTTTCGAAGTGCTTTAGGAAATGAATTAAGAATCGATTTGCTAAAATTGTACACATTGTATATAACAAGTTCATAAGCATTTGTCGGCTTTGAATTACTTGCGGTTGACTGTAATTGGCGGTTGTTTATCACGACTTCTATAAATGGAAGCCCTTTAAAAGCGGAAGAGCCGACATGTGATATATGTACATATATCCGCAGGTTTTATAGGCTTATTGATTTTGCGGTTTACTTGAGACATTGGCGCAGGTGTCAAATGATTAGAGCTTACGGATTTATGATGAGTACTTTTCAATGTAAGGCAAATAAAATTATGGGTAGAAGAAATTCTGTGAATTAGTAGGTGCTTATCGCATTGATTGGATCAACTATTTTCAGATAATTATACTCTTATTTTACTATAAATTTAGTACGCCTAGGTTAAAGTTCCTTACTTAGCGGCTAGTTGAGTGTCAACAGGGGCAGAGTATTTAAAACAGAGGACTTTTAAATATGCGCATTAAAACAAAGCGTACAATTTGTTCGAAACAAGCACAATTTGGGTTTCACTTTCATATCAAAACGTTCACTTTTTTATTAATATACATATTTTAGTAAATATTTCTACATATTTAACAAAGGCTTAAATTTGTTGCCATTTTTTATATTTTTAATTCACTTCATTTCTCATTATTGTCTAGATTCGGAGAAATTAAATTAAACTTATATTTGCTTTTAAGAATAGTGGAGAAATTATGAGATATTAACTAACGATGTCTTTCATAATTTGTTAATAAATAGTATTCAAAAATTAATTGTATAAACAAATAGGCCAATAAAAATTGATCATATTTGATATTAAAATCGTTAGCCAAAAGTGCACTGAATGATTTTCTATTTAAAAAGTGTCAAACAAGAAATGGGCTGAACATCTGAAGCAACATTTTAATCTTGTAAACCATTTCCAACACACTTTATTTAACAACAAAAAAAATTCTTCAGAAGCTGCATCTTCAATTTAAATATTTATTAAATTCAAAAATTTTACGTTGAACTTACCTAAATGTGCAACGGCATGTAAATCGAAAAATTACGAAAAATGTCAGTTCACATCACGCCTTCTACGGCAGGCTGTTGTTAATCATGGCACACACGCACACACTCTAATCTAGTTGGCTGTTGTTGCAGAAATATTCAAATGAGTTACGGGCTGCCAATAAATGAATAATATGTTACGGCCGGGCTTGCAGACCCAAGACAGCACGGAACAACAGTGACACGAACTATGCACAAATATTCATTAATTTCTTAATTCAGAATACACTTGTGTCACTTGAACTTGGGTCTAGTTCTTGAACACAAACTGCACTTTGATGAACTTTTTATCAAGAGTATTTGCCAGGCCTCGAAATCTCGCGAAGACGTGACTTCAAAACTAAACCGAAGCCAACGTCTGAACGAACGACATCCGCACTGAACGAATGAAAAACGAATACTGACTCCGGGATTGAATGCAATGAAAGTTAAGAACTGTCACGCAAGCTCGAGCACGTTCGAACAAGTTGCAAGCCCACATGTTTGCGCAACTTCGAGCCGAGTCGAGCCGAGCCGAGACGAGCTCTTCGCCTATTCTATGTTTTTCTGCTTCGGCTTCGGCTATCGCTGCTTATGATCATTGGCTCCATTACGAGTGAATGGAAACGAATAGCAAACGAATGCAGGTTTTGTTCTAGACATTTAATCACAGTTAAGCGAAAAACCATCCCATCAGAAGATTATTTCAAATGTATTGTCGAATTTTGAATACTATAGCATCATTAGCAGACATTGTAGACGGGTGGGTCGTGTGCTGTGAAATCAGGATTAAACATCAAACGTAATGCGGCTGCTAGGCAGACAATATAAATAAATTAAAAAGTAAAGGCTATCAACTAAATCTCCCACACAGAAAACATTTTATTTTACAATGACAACATATTGCTGACTAGCAAAATAAATATTCGTATAAATTATTAATATTAAAACAATTTAATAGTTGCTCTACCATATCTTTTCCCTAAATTTCGAGCCCGCAGCTTCATTGTTTCGTTGTCGCAATGACTTGGATACTAACTGAACTCATCCACTGAGAACTGCTAACTGCTTATATTTTATAGGATTTAGTTTGTGTAATTTTAAATAAAAAAATATACAAGGATAGCAAAAAGAAAGACATTGTAAGGAAGCCTCTGGCTGCCGACACGTGAAGCACGCAAAGCAATGAAAATTCCGACCTGCCGCAATAAATTCCGCGCGCGTCTGCCAAAATAAGAGTGAAATATCCTGCGCACACACACAAACACACAGACAAAGCACACAGCAGGACTAACTTGAAGAGCGACACACAGGAATAACCGCCGTGTGCGTGTCTGTGAGTGTGAGTGTGTGTGTTTTGTGCGCGCCATAAATCGCGCTAAGCCAAAACAAAACATAGCTGGCCAAGTCCCAGAGAACAGCATCATGCATCAGGCATCAGGCAGGTGGATGCCACAGCCTTTGACCTGACACAATGCTCTACATTCGATGTTTTTATCCCGCCCCAACCCAAGGGGCGGCGCGGTTCGAGATGCGCCTGCGCCGTGGCAGCTCGAACCGAACAGCTGTTTATAGCCGAAAGTCCTTACCTAGGACAACACAACCAATGCTGGTCATTGCAGCATCCAATCTTGGCGATAAACAATGCATAGTTGTACATATATTATTCATTGTTTTTTATTATCCAAATATGTTTGAGGCAATAGCCAAACATATCTTCAGCCATAATTTCACCAAGTGTTAGGTATTGGGTCTAAAAAAAATATATATTTTTTTAGAGGATCCTTAAGTCTTATATATTGGTAGAGCTTACCGAAGTATATATGCCTGCCCTTTACCAGCCGCATGGGCAAGAAGTGCAACAGGGACTGCCACATGGTCCGCAGGGCCCACAGCAAGAACCACAAGGACCACAGGACGGACCACAGGACGGGCCACAGCATGGACCACAGGACGGGCCACAGCATGGACCACAGGACGGGCCACAGCATGGACTACAGCATTTGCTCGCTGGTGCCAGACAACCAGGAGGGCAAGGTCCAACATAGAAAGGATCAAATTTGCAAACAATAAGCATATTTAAATCCTATTTGAACAGCAGCGTCTCCTTCCTGGTAATTTATATATACTAAATGCAGATTCTTAGTCTTATTGAATACAAATGTAAACTATTGTTAGAAAAATTACTGCTCACTCTAGGCCGAAGATATGTGTGATTATTATTTCCTCAGCTCGTCTCTTGTTTTATTAATTCATATTACAAGATGTTTATGAACAGAAAATTTTGAAAATAATGAGCTCCTTTGAGCAAAACGAAACTACGAGGGCAAACTAGCTTCTTCAAGGCCTACTAGGTGTGCATCATTTTTTCAAGAACGAATTACTCTTCGCAAAGTTGTGTTTCTTGGTTTTTATGTAATATTAATAAATTTTGTTTATTTTAAAATCCGGTTACTCTATGCCCTGTTACTCTATGTTATCAACTTTTATCAGAGTGACAGAGTTAGCACCACGGCCAGCAAGGGCCACAACACCGGGTGGGCAAGGTCAAACATAGAATGGATCTAAGTTTCAAACGGTATACATATTGATAGATGTTTGGACTTTTCGTAAGTAACGAGTCCTAACTGGTTAATAAATTATTATTGCTGCACTTGAAATTGATTTTCAAAAACTGTACTTCATATTTCAAAGCTTGGCTTGCTTTTCTGTTTTGGACTGATGATGAGTTACACGATTTATTTTGTTCTTTTTTTTCATTTTTTGTTGGCTGCCTGAATTGTTACAAAAGAATGAGCTACCAAGCGAGAGCCAAAGCCATGAGAGCAATTTAACTTCTCAGAAGCCTACTAGGTTTTCTAAGATTCTAGAAAGCAATTGCTCGAGTCGACAAGCCGACTATGTTTCTATCGAGCTCTTATCAATGTAGTGGATCCGCTTTACCACCAGATGGTAAACACATTAATCACAATAAATATTATTTTACACATTATATCTGGAATCTTACACCGAGTAAAAACCTTCTCATTTGAAAGAGATTAATCTAAGCAAATATGCAAATTAAAACTTTTTCATTATTTTTTTTATTGAGAATTTTGAAATGAACATAAGGAAGATGTTAAATATAATCACATATATCTTTAGCCGTAGCTAGTGCAAATTCCACTTGGGTCATAAGCGTCATTGTAAAAGCTATAAAGAACTATAACACCAGTAGGTTTTATTGAGCACCCGAACTAGGCTGATAACCCAGTTCAGCAGCATCCGTTACCGCAGCAGCCGCCGCAGGGCCGGCAGCTGGCACCGCCGCCAGCGGGTACAAGACATCCAGGAGGGCAGGGTCCAACATAGAATGGATCGAATTTGCAAACGATATACATATTAAAATTCTGAAATTCGCAGCTACAAGTTCTTTTGGCTAATATTATACTACAGCTGAAAAAAAAATAAAATAAATACGTATACATTTTAAAGAACAAAAATGATATATATATATATGTTGTACTACTTACATGATATTATTTTTTTAGGCCAAAAATGTATGTGAATATCAGTTCCAAACAGATTTGAATTTTTGTTATTTTTTTAAATCATTCTATATATGTTCACTAGCCGAAATATTGGGAAGGAATGAGCTCAACTACAAAATAAACGACACAGCTGCCAAAGCAAGACCAGTTTCACTTTCCAAAGTCGACTTTGTTTTACAACATTTCCATTAATAAAACATTGTGACTGAACTGGATTTGATTTGATAGCTCTCCACTTGCATTTTATATGACTGTATATATATGTGGTTCTCGCTCCATGGATTTATCCGTAGCCTTTTCCATAAACTTAAGAGGTACAACTGCAGTAAGTGGATCTAGCGAACAGAGCTTGTATATATACAGCGTTATAACGCTGAATATTATCAATCATTTCTTTTTTTCAGGTTGGCAGCTTGTTCACTTATGGCCACTATACTGTTAGACATTTATAGTCCGCCATTGTTTTGTTTTGGATTAATACGGTTGAGCATCGGCGCTAGCAAATAGCTCCATTATCTTATAAATGCATTGACCCGTTTTCTTTACGGCGTACCAGGGACCATGGATAATCTCACAATCAATGAAAGGAATCTGTTGACCAGGTGCAACGCGCTCGATGGCCTTAGCGCCTACATCGACCAGTTCGCAAAATGGTGTCGCGGCATTAACCACCACCTGAGATGTCGTGTGTGTCATAGTGATCAACAACGCCAAAGCTCCAATCACTCCAACACAGGTGTGCAAATTTTCCATAGCAAACAGGACTTTATTTCCGGTCCAGTCAAGGAGAGCTATCATCCAAGCATTGCTTCACACTTGAAATTTTTATCAATAAATGCCGCATCGTGTATTTTGAAAGTCAAGTCAAAGCGCTGCTGATTAACCGCCAAAATGCGCCATCACATCTACAACTGAGCAGAGCAGACAACGAAACCTGTTGCATATCTCTATCATAGCCTCGTCCATGCATGCCGCATCCAGTGTAGGCCCAGTTTCACGTTGAGCCTGTGTAAAAGACTGATGCACCTCTAGGATTGCACTGCGCACCGCTGGCAGCATTTGATCCATTGTACACGACTTTAGAGCTTCCATGCCTTAACAAGTGTCTTTTGTGCATAAAAACAGGCCCTAAGCTGGATTCAATTTATCAACACTTAAAACACAAATGCACTAAACCAGTTTACATTTCTGATATTTTTGTTAGCACATTCTTTGTTTTTACTATTTATGAAATATGATTTGTTTTATTTTTGTAGTTTAAGTAGGCTGAGAGTCAACTAGAATCTATTTTTCATTAGAGATTAGGCCATCTGCAATTCGCGCATCGGTATCAATAATGGCTTAGCAGAATTTATGCGTCAAGAATCAATCAACAATGTGCCTTCTACTGTTTAACAAGAAAAATCATCAAATCTTATTTTGTACCAAGAAATGACTTATTTTCAAATGACGCTGCCAACTGTGGACTCTGGCTAAGACAATATAATGTCCAAAAACTCGCTTGAGTCACTTCGGAATTCATTTAAACCAAAGTTCCTTAAGTCAAAATCCAAAATCAATCAAGGAGTTTGCCAACCTTGTGCATCGGAATCAGTAATCATCAAATTTCAACTGGAAATTTTGTTGTTTATTGCGTTAAATTTAATTATATATTTTAAATTATTTTGAACACTTGCTTCCCGTCTGGCTCACTTTATCTAAATCAGTGTTGCACAGTCTTCTCTCGGCCATACCCCTACAGCGATCGCTCCAACATGGAATATAGCCCGACTATATGCCAAATGGATAGGAAGTACATGATTTTTCGGGATATGGACCAAGGTAAAAGGGATTCATGCTTTCAAGTTGACAGCGTGGACCAACCATTTTCCAGAATGTACAATTTCTAATATTTTTTTGTAAATTAAATCAAATGAAGAAGCTTACAATTTGAATTTCCACTTGTTAAACATTTTATAGAGTGCAGAAACTATTTCTCAACATCTATACCCGAGCTAAGGGGCAAAGGTAGCTTGATTTAATTTAACACAGCATTTTCTTTAGCAATTTCAACAGATTCTCAGCACAGTTGCTTAACATACAATTAACATTTTAATGTTAAGCCTGCCTTACTAGTAATCGAAACTCAATGTTGGTGTTGTACTAAAATTAAATTTATTGCATTCTAAAGATGGTTACTTTCATTTGTTGGAGTTGAGGCTGGACATGGTGGGTCTTCCGATGTATTGTAACTGGCTTCAAAATCTTCCTCAGTATGTTCCTGACTCTTATCTGCAGCTGGTGAACAGCCGCCACAAGGTGCTCTCGGTCCTGGGCATGGCCCGCACTCGGCATTCGGACATTCGCTTTCATCGGTACAGTCCGTATCACAACAAGGCGGATGGGGTCCAATGTAGCCAGGGTTAAATATGATAGGCATGGTGGACCGCCCGTTCGAAGACAACCTTTAAGGCTAACGTTGCAATTGATGGCAATCTACTTAAATATATTTGCACTAATAACACTTGCCTTTGAAGATTATTGAAGCAGGTTGGTTCTATTGTAAGTGTTGTTGTGTGTTGAGAATATAAAGTAAATACATTTTGTTGCCGGTTACATGGCTGACAGGCTGCTTAAATGAAAACAAACTAAAAGCCTGCCAAAGTCAGCTTTCAATAGAAACACTGCAGACACATTGACCCAATCACAATGGCTTTATAAGCTCGGAAAGCCTGCTGCCCCTGTGCAGACAATGCGTATAATTATTTCATAATCGGGCAACACTTCATTTATGGTGACAAAAGCCTGCAGATGTGCAAAGCCACACCCCAGCGGGAGTCTCTGACCAGCCAATAAATGGAAACAGCCAACAAAAGTTGTTTGAGTTGTAAGCAAAAATACTCTGTACGCAGATCTAACTTTTGTGAACTTTATACAAATTTTTCGCAATTTTTTGAACACAAAGAATGTTAGTATAGGATTTACATATGCATCAGGATTATTTATTGAAACATGGCATTTTGTCTACAAAAAAGCCCCTAGTGTCTGTAACATATTAGCATACCCTTCATCGGCCCATACATCAATATAGGGTATCGTAATGGCAACAACACGCACACTGTAAATTTTAAGTTGAAATTAATGAATAATTAAGCTGCATTGGGGACCCATTCGACCCGTTGTTCGAAACGGAAATGCAACATTTGCATAACTAACACAATGAACTACATACGCATGTCGGTTGAATGAATGTGCTACGAGTTTGAATGAATGCACTCACTATACACACATATAATCATATATGTATGTGTGCTGGCATTAGATATGCAAATTCGAATACTTTCATAAGCATAATTGGCACATAACGGCAATGCTTTTGTCAATTAATCAATCAATCAACTACGACGACCAAAACGTTCACAATGCCAACATAATGACGCTCCAGTATGCAGTGCAGGGTATTCTGATGAGCACTAGCCGCAAAGTGCACCTTGATGCATGTTAATGTCATCATTTTTGATCACTCACAAAGTTCAGAATGCTTTGAGTCAGCAGCAACAACAACAACAACAACAACAACAGAAACGTCAAGCAAAGCCGCATCGGCAGAGGCATCTACATCAAACGTTGACATGGCCAGCTCCCGCCTGGCGGCTGCTTCTTCTGTTACTACTGCTGCTGCTGCTGCTACTGCAGAGCGTCAAAGTCGTGTGCGTTCTCTGTGTAATTCATATTCAAAGCGCGTTGCGACACAGCGCACCGTGGTTACTACAGTTTAGTGGAATGAGGGGCGGCCTGGGGGTAGAGAGTTACTCTAGCGTAGGCGTCTGAGCTCCCCCTCCTATCCAGTTAGTGCAACCGCACGCACTGCTTTTAAGTGGCGGCCACTGGCCAGCGTGTGCCTCATTGCGTTGCACGTTGTGGGGTGCTGCTCGTAGCTCGGATTACTTTGTGTATGTGTGTGTGAAAGAGTGTGTGCCTAGTCGATAGTTCGTTGCGGCTGGCGTGGCACTTGTGATCCGCTGTGGCGCTTTGTCTTTTTAGCGCACTCAGCAAATCCACATTGTAATATACACTGAGCGAAATTTTGGATGTAAGAATGGGAAAAGTTTCAAAAACAGCATATTGACTGCTTTAAGCCGATTTGTAGAGCAGTTAAAGAATAATTGTGGCCAAATATATATATACGATTAATTTGTAGCATCGATAATTCGTATATGAAGCATTAGATAAAAATTTAATTTGTAAATAATAAACATGAATTGCTTATATAAGCTAGAAAGTAAAGCCTTTAAAATGTATATAAATTGTATCAATAAAATGTTGTTGATAAAAAATATATGTACTAATGACTACAACACATAATATAGCAAAAATTTGTTGAAAGAAATATAAAAAATCAAATAATTCGAAATTCAATAATTAATTTTATGATATTGCACAGTTATAAGAGAAGGGTATGGAGTATAACGCCCATTATTTTTTTATTACTTAATTCTTTTATGATTATTTTCATTCCTTTCAAAAATTATTCATAAACTGAGATAAATTATTATGGTGCAAAGGGATTGTATACACCTATCAATAATATAGTAATACATTTTTATCAATTTTCCTTAAAGCTGGTAAATTGTTATTAATCCTAAGAACTATTTGTAGAGTTTTAACAACACTACACTTGGCGCAAAACAACATAAACAAGCTCAGAAATATTGAAAAAAAAAAAAAGTAAAGAAAAACCCATCGACTCTGTCTATACCACATCCGTTTCTAGGTCTCCGCAAAGCGAGTTTCTTTCTTTTTTCTACTTTTTTTAATAATTCCAGTTCTTGTTATAGTGTTGTAGTTCCTTGGTGCCTCGGTCTGGCCACGCGCAGCGGCCACTTGTCTCGTCGTAACTGTTTGAAATATGTTGTGGAGAAATGACAAAGTGACCGGAAGATGATACTGTAATAAAACAAACAGACGACCAACTGGTGGGCCACACTCTGGTGCGGCCCCATATGTTCATGTTTGTCTAGGAAATAGCCGAAGCGCAAGTACGACGGCTGCCCATACTGGAAATGAACATGGGCAACTGGACAATGTTTTATATGCTGTACGCTGTGCGTTTTCTATTTATGTTTCTTTTCATTATTGTATTTTTCTATTTTTTTTCTATTTTTTAACCATTTATTTACAAATGAACAATATTTATGGCCTCTTTTTGAGCTCTAACTACGTTTCGAAGCTACTATACTGTCTGCTGTGCAGCCAACTTCCGTTCTGGTATATGGCAACTGTCTTTTTTGTTTTGTGTTCATAATTTTGTGGTTTTATTTTCGGTTCTGCGTTTGCGGCATATGAAAATAGAATCTTGTTTGGCGTAGAGTATTTAAAAAAAAGTTTGACAATAAATTTGAATGTTTTTGGTAAGGTTTACCACGTTCTTGGCATGCGTTTAATATATTCGATGGTTCAATCTCTATAAAAATTATGATAATTGGCCAGCAATTATGTGTTGCCAATAAATAAAAAATATATACATTTATTATGTATACTGCGTAGAGATACAATCTGAGGTGCGATTATTAAAATAGCCATTTTATGGACAAGTTGTCTTTATAAATCTTCTTCCATCGATAAAGACGACATTATTATGTTGATGCATGGAAATTCTAATGTTTGGAAATATGTTCTTATATATGGAAAATGTAAGGTGACAATTATAAATTTAAATGTTGTTGATTACTATTGTACATGTTAGGGCCTCGACTCAATTCTAAAGAGAATATATGTAAATAATAATAGCTTTATAAGCCCGCAAACGATTCCGATTAATCTAAAGCTTAGCTGCAGCCGGGGAACAGCCCAACTATTTAAAACCCGAACATAATTAGAGTTGTCATGGGAAAAATTTATTACGGCCAATTGGAGTTGCCATCAAAATGGGACCACTAAATGCCAGCACTTAAGCGATCATAACTTTGGCCATGATAAATCGAACTGGAATCGCCCGCAGAGGCACTCAAATCGTATGCAAAAAACAATCTGGCAAGTGGTTAGAGACGAGAAGTATAAGGAGGAGGCGTAGCCTAAGAGCAAGAACCTGAATGCCGAGTGGAGGCAGATGCAGCTGGCGTTGAATGAATTGGTCTGCCGTTGTCTTAGCAATCAGCGCTACCGGGCATGGAAAGTTAACACAGAGAGTCCCCCAAAAACCGGATTCGGTTTCAATTGACGCTGCGGCACTTGGCGCGCTCAACTCTTTGCCAGGATGGACTGCGGCGGATGTCAGCTCGGCGGTAGCTAAGGGGTGCTGCGGCTGTGGCAGCTTCTAAGCGCCTTGTTGCAACGCCTGTCTCATCGGCTGGATGGCTGACTGTGTGGAGAGAGCGCATTCAAGTTGAAATTGCCGCAATTGCGTGTCGACCACAATCTTAACCAGCAGAAGCAGCAGCACAGGCAGCAGCAGAGACAGCGCCGCACCCAGTCAAAAGTTCTAACTGACTGCTTGCCACTGGCAGCGTCTTGGTGTGCTGCCTTGCCCCTCCCGGTTTCTGCTTCTGGTGCTACCTGTCCGTCTGCTAGTCTGTTTCCTTTTGTTTTAATGAATAAGTTGGAACACCTGCTCCTTGGTCGTTGCTTGTTGAGATCTCTCCCTTCAGTCTGTCTGTCGGCTGGACATGTTGCTCAAGTTTGACGCCGCGCATGTGTTCTATCTTTCTGTCAGGCAGGCTCTTCCCATTGTTAATGCGCTACATATGTTGTGCGGCATGTGAGTTTTGAACAAGTTGCACGACAACAAAACTGTCTGTCAGTTCATCAGTAATTGTCATTGTACTACAGCTAACAGAAAGTTTTTCTCCGTAGTTATTTTGAATGTCGAGTAATACAGAATGAATTTTCTTTTCTTTTTTTCTAAGTTGTTGCTTGATGGGGCTTTTACTACACATGGAGTATTTCAAATGGAGCACAAGGAGACCCATAAATAAAGCTTGCTCGATTACACAGAAACTTAATCTTTAGATTACAATTGGAGTTTTTACT